GACGGTAGCCATAATGGTGGTCGAGAACATCATGTTGTGCAGGGTCGAAAACCCTCACTCCGCGCAAGGGGGATGATCGCACCACGTTGTGTTAAAATGGTCAAGCACCCTCGAGGCAGTTACACAGTGCTTACAACTGTCTCTGGAAGTGAAAGCACCAGAAAATATATTAAGTCATACGCAGCTGTCATCCGTACGCAAGGACGTAAGCACAAGATGCCGAACACCCTTAGCAGGATGCAGCGCACCCTTCATGCGACTCGCCGGATATCTCACGGCGCTTCGCGCTTGGTGATGTGAGAGCCTAGTCCGGTGAGAACCCGGCGTGCTCCGTCCCGGCTTTGCAGGGATGCGACGTGAATGGTCTAACGACTACGGCGTCATACACGACTATGAGTACACCCCCCCCTCCCCCCGGTGTTTACCATCGGGGTTGGGTTTTCGTCGCTTGGCAACGACGTTGTAAGACAAGCCGCCCCCCCCGGTGTTTGCCATCTGGGTTAGGTTCTCGTCGCTTGGCAACGACGTTGTAAGACAAGCCCCCCTCTCGGTGTTTGCCATCGGGATTGGGTTTTCGTCGCTTGGCAACGACATCGTAAAACAAACAAGCCAATTCACTTCGTGGACTCGACAACCAGGTTACCGTTTGATTTTTTTTACCTCTTGTTTTTTTGGCGGTAGCCATAATGGTGGTCGAGCACATCATGTTGTGCAGGGTCGAAAACCCTCACTCCGCGCAAGGGAGATGATCGCACCACGTTGTGTTGAATTGGCCAAGCATCCTCGAGGCAGTTATACAATGCTTCCAGCTGCCTCTGGAAGTGAAAGCACCAGAAAATATATAAAGTCATACGCAGCTNAAAACAAACAAGCCAATTCACTTCGTGGACTCGACAACCAGGTTACCGTTTGATTTTTTTTACCTCTTGTTTTTTTGGCGGTAGCCATAATGGTGGTCGAGCACATCATGTTGTGCAGGGTCGAAAACCCTCACTCCGCGCAAGGGAGATGATCGCACCACGTTGTGTTGAAATGGTCAAGCACCCTCGAGGCAGTTACACNCGGCTTTGTAGGGATGCGAGGTCAATGGTCTAACGACTACGGCGTTATTCACGACTATGAGTACACCCCCTCGCCCCCCCTATATGCTTCGGAACCTACTATCTCTGCAGGAACATTCACATGTATCGGATATTAGTGTCCAATAGCTAATATGGACAGTATGGACCGTGTCAACACGATGAAAAAGGTGTGGGGTCAATTGGAGCTGCGTGGGTGGAGACTCGAGACGACTATTACTTTCTGAGATGCTGCGGGACCCTTTTTTTGCATATCTCTGCAGTCACTGGCCCAGCGATTGGTTTGAGGACGATTGGAGACAGCGGGAGGGCGTCGTGGAGCAAGTAAGAAGTCACTCCACCGTTGGAGCAAATAACATTGCCGTTTTTCGTTACCCTAGGTCGAAATTTGAAAGATTTGATGATTTGATTATTGAGACCCCGGAAAGAGAACGAACGATCCGCAGGAGGGGAGGAAATGAATCATCCGCTCGGTCGAACAAAATCAAAATCTCGGAGATTTCTGGACGGTTTTCTTTTTCTTGTCCCGTTGTGGGATTTCACGCACGCGTAGCGACCCCTGACGACCCTGATGGAGACTCATTTGGTTTTTAAACTCTTGGAACAGCAGCGCTTGTTGTTGCTTGACTCTCAAAGATAGACTGAGCACAGGGGGGGAGGACATGATCCCTCGAAAAGGGGCCACAAAGAAAGGTCGCCATGTCCCCTGTTTTATCCTCCCATGGGGAGTTACATCTCCCGCTTTCCTCAGGGAAATACTCCGCAATTGCCGTTGACACTAAGTACAATTCAAATCCCACAACCCCGTCCCGGGCGTCCCGGGGATGTTTCTCTTTGTCCCCTGAATTGCGGACAAACAACACCTAGAACCGCAACGCGGGTTGTGCTTGTCATTTGCGGTAGGAAGGAGACCGTTCGTTCTGGTTTGTTTCGTGCGTGTAGCTTTCGCGACTCTTGATACCGGACTTGTAAAACAACCGGTTTGACAGTAATCTCCACGACATGACAGATTTTCATTGGTGCTTGCTCTTTTGTGGCGGCGACTGAGACCCCACTTTCCAATTTGGGAATTTGGGGATTTGGGGGATTGGTTTGTCATCCTTTCTTTCCAGTACCCTTCGCAGGGTTTTTCTATCAAGCAAACACGTTGGACGAAGGGTGGGTGCAATCGGGGATTTCGGGTTAGGGATTTCAAGGTAAGGGAATAGGGTCTGCGTACCCCCCTCCAGTTCTGTACAACTTAATTTCTCGCGAAAGGCGGTCGTCCTCCGGAATAACCACAAAGACAGAGAGGGCCGCCGCCTCTCCCTTGGCACCAGCGAACTCCTGCCGCGCTCCATCGCAAAGGTCTAAGTGGTGCATGTTTTCTCGAGTCTTCCTCTATCTTGGACAAATGGTGATCGGTGCGACAAGCCATGTGTGTCTCCCCACGCGACACGAAAAAATGCAGTCATCGCACTTACTTGCGACCCTTGATAATGTGAACTTAAGTTAATTGTGTTCCCCCACCCCGCACGCGGCCCTCCGCTGCCCACACTCGCGAACCTTCCCGCCCGGACGCCGTACAGCGGTTGGTTGCGAAACAGCACACTGCCTACGACATGGGGAACCATCTACATCTTGGCCTACCATACGGATCCACATGTTTCCTCATGGCCTACAAAACGAGAAAGAACGCTGCTGTTGCTGCTGTTGCTGATGCTGCTACCGCGGACATGGCCGAACGCATGCATTCACTTCGCGACATTGGCAGGCAAATAGAAGGGGTAATGCAAAAGGTCTGTAGAATACCTCCCCCACACCGGTACGCGAGACGCAAATATCGACAAACCATCGACGTCCCTGCCATCCCTGCACACTCGCAAACCCATGCGCACTGGTAGGCAAGGATTTTCACCTGTAATACTGTGCTCTGCCCTAGAACGACTACGGTACGAAAGGGACACACGCGAGAACGATCCTCACATATTACTTGAGGACTTGGCACAAACAAGAACTCCATGCTCAACATGTCATCAAAACTCAACACCACAAGCACCATGTGCGAGCCGGAACAAGACCCTACACAACAAAAACTTAAGGATGTAGCGGCCCCGAGCAGCCTTGGAGCGGCTACCTGTAGCTTCACCCTAGGAACTAACATGAGCCCGATGCTAGAGGTTCTCAAGTGCGGCTATCCAGCACACCCGGTACACCCGGCACTGAACCAAGTATGCCTTCTTACCGCCTTGTCGACGGGAGAGAGGATTCCATCGCCTGAGGACGCCGGTACCCATACGTGTCAGCTTATATGTATCGAATTTTCTGAGGGACTAGGGTGCTCAACGCACCGAATCACCAGCCTCGGGCTGACGGAACAAAAAACAATACATAAGCGCTTAGAATAATGTTTTGTTGCATTCGAAAACAAACACCAGTCTTCGGGGAAAACACACGCTACCCCCGCATTTTTCACCTGCATCGCTTCCTTTTTCGCTGGTTTTCTCCTGCGAATCGGGCGAAGCAAGCAATAGGGTTGGTCCATGTCCTGGCTATCAAAAACACATACCACAAATTCATCCACGCAAATTATCGACCTTGCGTATCAATACCATCTTCACCGACACACGCAACCCGGCCCCCTCAAAAGTCCACCCAACATCTACGCAGATCTACGCACGTACGCCAAGTGCACTCACACTGCTGCTCTAAGGAAAACAGGAGTACCCCCGCCCCACCCGTCGCAGAAGGGAGACACGAGACTCGGGTGCATTCTTGAGGCGAACAAAGAGCAGCACGCACGCTACACCCCAACAAAAAAGACACGCACAATTCACAAAACAAAACAAGGAAGACGCACCGCGGAGTGCTGGACTCGCCCGGCCTTCGTGAAACGCTCTCCGTACAAACACCCTGTCTTATTTTCATCAAATAGCGGCGTAAAAACCGAACTTCTGCGCACAGCAGTGCAAAAGTTAAAACCAAGACTAGAAACCGATCGTCAAAATAAAAAAATACACATTCCAGATACATTCAAAGACGATATTTTATGCCCAGAGACGCATAACGCCTGGATCCTGACCAGGCACACCACGCCTTGATGTCATCGGATACAAAATAACTCGCACATGACATCAGTAAACCAGTACCGTAGATCATGACGTAAGACATCACACACCCCTGGATCGTTTTTCACAGCTCCATTGATCTACGACAAAGAGGCTGTACAACTGCAACGTTTCGGAAGATCCTCGATTACAAGACGGTTCCGACCGCCGCTAATCTCGCACCGCCACCTATTCTGCTGGGGATATATGCCGGGCTTCGAAAATGAGCCCAGGAGGTGTGATATCTCTTGATAACATGCTGCACTCACTTGCTGATGCGAACAACCAACGAAGCGGAACACTCTCGGTTGGCTTTCTGTCACCTCAGACCGCCAGTATCGCTCACGATACTTGCGCAATCATCTCCTACCGTAATCCCGATAACAACACTAGGTTTTTCCTGATAGCCTCCAACACCACCGGTGCCGCCGCTGTCAACCAAACTAGGCGCGAACACCCCTCCCCCCCCGCCCCTAACAAACAAGATATTCCAATACACCGGCGTATCGCATCCTATAGATAACAGGCAAACGGGGGACGCCGCATCACGACCAGGCAACACCCGAGCCCACGAATTCGCGCAAACCGTGTTCCGTCTTTCTCGCGGCTAAGAAAAAGGTGCACGCGAGAGGTACACCCCGTGCCGTCTTCCCCGCTAGCCAGGCCTTCCAACTGTATATTTGCCAAATAAAGGTACTCCCGAGGGGTACACCTCGTGCCGTCCTCTCCGCTGGCCGGGCCCTCCACTGCTGTATATTTGCCAAATAAAAGTACTCCCGAGAGGTACACCCCGTGCCGTCTTCTCCACCACTGTACCCCGGCCTTCCACTGTCTGTTCGCCAAATAAAAGTACTTCCGAGAGGTACACCCGGTGCCGTCTTCACCGCTAGCCCGGCCCACAACCTTCTCGCCGAAAAAGGGTACACCAGAGAGGTAAACACCGTGCCGTCTTCTCCGCTAGAGGCCAACCTATTCATAGGGGAAGAGGTACACGGCAGAGGTACACACCGCGTCATGCCTTCCCCGTCCGTCGCCAATAAACAGGCAAGAGAGTGGAGAAGAGGTACAACACCAAAAGAGGTACAATACCAAAAGAGGTACAATACCAAAAGAGGTACAATACCAAAAGAGGTACAATACCAAAAGAGGTACAATACCAAAAGAGGTACCATACCAAAAGAGGTACAATACCAAAAGAGGTACAATACCAAAAGAGGTACAATACCAAAAGAGGTACAATACCAAAAGAGGTACAACACCAAAAGAGGTACAATACCAAAAGAGGTACAATACCAAAAGAGGTACAATACCAAAAGAGGTACAATACCAAAAGAGGTACAATACCAAAAGAGGTACAATACCAAAAGAGGTACAATACCAAAAGAGGTACAATACCAAAAGAGGTACAATACCAAAAGAGGTACAATACCAAAAGAGGTACAATACCAAAAGAGGTACCATACCAAAAGAGGTACCACCACCACCACCACATACTGCCGTGCGTCGCCAATAAAACAGGCAAGAGAGTAGAGAAGAGGTACAAGACCAAAAGAGGTACAATACCAAAAGAGGTACAATGCCAAAAGAGGTACAATACCAAAAGAGGTACCACCACCACCACCACATACTGCCGTGCGTCGCCAATAAAACAGGCAAGAGAGTAGAGAAGAGGTACAAGACCAAAAGAGGTACAATACCAAAAGAGGTACAATGCCAAAAGAGGTACAATACCAAAAGAGGTACCACCACCACCACCACATACTGCCGTGCGTCGCGTCGCATCGCTTCACGTCGCGTCCTCTCCTTGTTCACCCTTCCGACCCCTCCACCCCCCACAAAAAACTACAAAACTAAATTTTTTTCGGTTACAGAAAGTCAGCCAGTCAGTCGGTCACTCGAGTTGGCGCACCCCGCCTTATTCTCCCCCGCAAAACATTCTCTGTTACCGAGGAAAAGCATTGTTCAGGTGACAGCCAGTCAGTCAAGTCAAGTCACGTCACGAAGTGGTGCACCCGACCTTGTTCTCCCCGCAGAGGGAACGCCGCGCCCGCTCTACGCTTGATGGCGCTGTAGAGAAGAAACCCGAGCCGCTGCTGCTACCGCCAAACATCGACCCCATCACCCCCGTCCACCCTGCATCAGCGGCGGCGGCGGCGGCGGCGGCGGCAGGGCTCAAGATCACCTCCCCGCTCCGCGAAGACGACTCCGACGCTGCTGGCGTTGCGGTGCGGCGGTGGGTGTTGAAAGGCAAGAACCGGGATTCCGGGGTGGTGGTGTTGGTTGGTGAAGGCGCGGTCGTGGCACGAACGGCGATCCGAATGTATCGGGGCGAAGGAGGAGACAGGATTGTGAGCAACGGGCGGCGGCGGTGGCGGCGGCGGGGGATTATTTTCACAAGATGCAGTGTCCGGGCTGACGGGATGTTGAGGCACGAATAAAATGATTTTTTTAATAATGGTGTGTGGGGCGTCGCGGGAGGGGGCGTCGTTGAACAGGGCGAAAACCATCGAGGCCACAAGACTAGGTTTGTGCACAACAACAACAACAACAACAACAACAACAACAGTAACCGCAGGCGGAGTACAGAGGGGAACGTAAGCATGCGACGGTCGGAACTAAGCGTAGTTTGCTCCCATGCTGGTCGACAGTTCGCGTACGGCTGCATAGTTTCTGACCCTGTTCAAGGCCGCATTGTTTTCTGCTTCTAGTCGAAGGGACAATACTATACTTTATATCGGGCACCCGGCACTTTTCAAACTTTGGTTGAGACAACTTGAATGTGCCATCTCTGCCAAGCGACGTCACAGGCCTCCAAAAGGCAAACCGGCTACAAAAAGGGGGCATTAAACAGGAATCTACTGCTGTAGCTTGTTCCTACTTGCCGGTCGGACGTTACCGTCGTGATGTCGCCGTCAATCGCGCATCGCATCCCATTTCGGGACGAAATTCCTCTGTGGATTCTAACACCAACCTTACTATTTAACCCCCGAAACTCCACCGATGCCATACTTTGTCCAGTACACTTTTCTAACAGAAATATGCATAGGGTACTGGTCCTCGTCTGCGGCGCCCCCATTCCTGTTTGCGGGCGGTTCGTGGCCACCACCGGTCATCGCAGTGGGAGGGGGAGAGCGAGGGACTTTGTTTCATTTGCCCATGGCAGTAGCAAGTATCCTGGATGTTGGAATGCCCTGATTAACGGCACAGTAATCGCTAGGCGCACATGCATCTTTCAGCACAATCGTAATGCGGAATAGCGGCACTGCCCTGAAAAAAGGCACCAACCTCTTGTCACTACCTACCGCTGTTGAGGACCGTCTACAGTACGGAATACCATACAACAGGTACCATGCATGTAGGGGATTGTGGGGTTGAATCAGGTAATTGTGAGAGGGTCATTGTGAACTGAAATATAGTGGACGAGGGGGGGGGGGCACTGGCATGGCTGTAAACTGGAGATGGATGAAGGGAAGCGTAACATATTGGTTGAAGTCGTCTACGCAAGTGTTTCAACTAAGCAAACATGCTGGAAAGGGCATATAAATTGCTCAGTTAAGTCAGGGTTGGGGTTAGGGTTAGGTTCCCAGCGGGCTGTCGCTCACGAACACACCTGAACACGACGACGAGCTACCGCTTGGCGTCCGCGAAGCACGGGCCTCGTCAGCAGCAGCACCTGCACCAACAAACGGTCAACGCCGGGATAACGTTTAGTTAATTTCTTAATCAATCACATGACGACGACCGCAGAAAGGGGTGGGTAGGGGGCCTAAGGGAGAGGAACCTTTCTGTGTGACCACGGGTTGGAGGAAAACGAAACAAGTGCTGTGAGCGCTGATCGGAAGTTGCTGTTATGTCCGTCATATTTAGTATGGCGACAGTCCCCCCATTTTTGGCGGTGAGATGTAGAGTACTAGACTACACCTTTCAGTGTATTTTTTCGTAAAGCTACAAGCATCCAGGGTCACACAGGAGGGGGTAAACACCGGGGGCTTGTTGGTATTGTTTTTTATTTTTCGTGCCTCACCTTCCTCCTGCGGTGCGCACTGAATTGCAGAAAAAAAAAAAAGTGACGACAAAGACGAAGACGAAATCAACAGCAATCAAACCATGAAGAGAATCAACGACATGACTGACCCCCAAATGCAGAACAGATACAACGGCCCCATATATGGCAAAAGGTGGAGCCCTAGGTCACAACCAGATGAGGAGCGAAATACCTACTATGCGATACGTGGGGCTACCATCGACCCGAATGCAGTTATGGACAACTGCGGAAATGTATTCGACTCTAGCAATTCCCTATTCCACCACAATCTTCCACTGTCACCTTCACCGCCATCAGCACCGGCGTCGGCACTGACAGCAGAAGCGGCAGACGCATCGTCGCCATCGCCAGGCGGCTTCGCGTAGGCCATCTCCCAGATCTTGTTGGCCCTGGACATGTAGCGCCCGGCCTCCTCGTCGTCCCCCTTTTTTCGTCATTCAACAAAACAAAAAAAGAAGCATGAAGGCCAAAAAGTTGAGCCATCGTCGTGGATTCGTGAAGACACCGAGCTCCGAGAATCAATACAGTATCAAAGCCAGAAAACATCCCCGGGCTCTCGCCGCTCTCCCACACAATAGGACACAGCTCTCGATGGGCTCAGCACACAACACACGCTGCTGCAAACGGACCGCCTTCGCGAGATTTACAATTTAACGAGGACATAGAACAGAGAGGGGGAAACGCAGACCCTACTCCCCCAAAACCCTAACCCCTACCCCTACCTTCCCCGATTGCATGCTATATCCAACATGTTTACCTCATTCCAAAAACCCTGCCAAGGCTACCGTTGACGTAAGATATCACACCCCTTGACCCCGATTTTCATCGCTCGATTACTCCACTGCGAAGAAGGATGTCGAAATCAAAGGATACACATATGTTTTCGGAGAGTTCTCGACGAGACGACGGTTCCAACAACTCCCGCCATCTTCGGCACCGCCACTTCATTTTCTTGCCGAGAAATCGAGCTTCGAAAAAAGGGTTCCGGGGGATGGGGGGATGGGGGGATGGGGGGAGGTGTACTCAAAGTAGTGCATGCCGTAGTCGTTAGACCATTAACCTCGCACCCCTACAAAGCCGGGACGGAGCACGCCGGGTTTTCACCGGACCAGGACAAAGGGGTCCAGGGGGCGTGATGTATCTCACGCAACCAACCTACGGTGTGTGCTGCTGTAAACTCACCCGGGAGCTGTACACGAGAGAGAGGTTGTGGAGGCTGAACGCCACGTCCTTGTGGTCGGAACCCAGGCGCTCGAGGCGTATCTCCAGCGCGCGGCGGTGAAGCGGCTCGGCGTGCTCGATCTCTCCTGAGAACAACGCACACCCACACGGCAGCGACAACGACGACGATAACGACAAAAACGCCCCCGGGACGAGGGGGGGGGGGGAACACGCATGCATGTGAGAACCTTTCTGTGTGACCATGGGTCATAAGAGTAATAAACGGCACAAACGAGCGCTAATTATTGGGATGAAGACGGAAAAAAAAAAAAATGAGAGCAACAGACATCGACAACGAGACACCGTCAACAAGGGATGAGATGGGGAAAACACGCATGCATATGTGGGTCACAACTCTACGAACCCAACCTACTACCTGTTTCACCACATATCCTACAACCTTGGAGAACGTTTCCCACATTCTCCTCGGAGGGATTACCGTATATGACACAAGATAACACATCCCCTGGGGCGATTTTCAAAGCTCGAATAACGTATATGACACAAGATAACACACCCCCTGGACCGATTTTCAAATCTCGGTTTCTCAACAACAGCAAGAGTCACGGCGCCGAAAACGGCGGCGTTGGAACCGTCTCGTCGAGAGCTTTCCAAAAATGTATCGTTTCGTTTATGCATTCTCTTCGTCGTGGAGTAATCGAGCATTGAAAATTGGTCCATACGTAGTCTCTCGGACAGTAGTCGACGCAGCAAAATTGACTAAGCAAACATATGGGATTGAGTATTCAATCCGTGCTTTAGGGTTAGGGCTAGGGATAGGGATAAGGGAGTATGTGCCACCTCCCTATTCTTTTTCTAGATACTCTTAAAATCCTGCGTAGGCGGTCCCAGTAGGAGCGAAGTCGATGTCGCCAACGCTCCGAGCCACGAGAAAGCGTGCAACGTTAAGAGGAACCTAAAGCCGTCTTCCACGAGGCTTCCTCAGATCGTTGACCGTGACTTTGTCCGAGAGGGATGCGAGGGCGTGCCCTTGCACACTTCTCACTCTTAACTTATGTCCCCATCTCATCTACCATAGAGATTCTGCCTCTCTACCGAGCATCACAGTCTGTCCGGTGATCGTAAACACCGCCCCATATCTGTGGCCGTTGCCCGAGTGGAACGCCAGTGAAGACAGCGTTGGAGATTCGCACCTCCCTGCGGTGTTATGGAGTTCAGACCCTTACTGGTGTCAGCGGCAGGGTTTGTCAAAGGTTACTCCCATCTTACGGCACCGCTTGCGGAGTTGACCCGAAACAGTTTTGTCAAATGTGCGAGTCTTGGAAAGGCCTGGCACCTTGTGCTGGACCCCAGACCTTTCTAAAACTCGCGAACAAACTAGGACACACACGATCGGCAAGTGGTTCGCGCATACGAGTAAAAATGTCACGAAAAAAATTCTCCTCTTGCAGCAAACAAAAGACAACGACAACGACAACGACAACGACAACAACAACGGCCAGGTATAGGGGGGGGCATGCATGCGGGAATACATGGTATGACGAGAAACACACTTCGAAGTACATGAATGGAAGCAAGAAAGGATGTTTCAAAAAATAAGTAACGAATAAATAAGAATGGGTGGATAGAGTAGGGAGGGGGCTTGCAAGAAGCAAACCGTGCGCCTCAAAAATTGTACTATAATAATACTCTGAAACCACATGCAACGACTACAACGACAACAGCGACGACGTCCAGGAATATGAAACAGCACACACACCCATGTATACATACACCCAAAGCGAAGAGAATGGCTTGGAAACTCAGGGTGTGCTAGCCAAAAACACCGGCAATGTACCGGGCACCGGCGCTAACCAGGGTTCTGTACGTCGGAATCCACGTACCATTATCCTGGAGCACCTCGGCCAGGTTGGAGAGATCCGTCGCCACTTCCGGGTGGTCGGGTCCCAGCAACTGAGACCGGGGGGGGGGGGGGGGGGGGGGGG